CTCGGTCAAGGATCCGGACATGGCAAAATATTCCTCCAAAAATGAATGAATTCCTGCTCGACTTTAAACACACTTTTGGAAAACTTTATAATTTACTAAAATCGCATCATAACCTCAGTAAAGTGAGTTAACTGTATTCTTCAGAGAATATAGTTTTATAAGAAGTCATATTAGAAAATACCTCGTCCTGTTTAGGTCAGTAGAAGAAGTTCTGGGAGTAGACATAGCACTGCATCTCTCTCCAGATGAACACATAGTCACATGAGCAGCATATGCTGAGCTGGGTAGCATCAGGACTGTCATTGGGAACCTAGAGAAAGATGCTTTCAAATCGCTATCTAGAGGATATATCCGACCAGAGGAAGAGATTGAAACACCACTTCACAATACAATAAAGAATGAGAAAGACAGAGTTTGCTGCCAGACGCCTCCCAGAATTCAAAACAAATAAATTACGGGAACAAAAGGAGGAATAAGGACCAAATAACACCCTAAGGAACACTAAAAGAATGAATATGATCAAGACATGTAAAATGATCACTGGATTAAATTCAATTTCAATGTAAAATCTGTAATGGAAGAACAGTGATAGACGAAGACAGGAACAGACGAATACATAGACGATCACAGGAATAGATAAATGCAAGGTTAGCCGAACACAGGGATAGACGAAAACATGAATGCTCCAAAAGAAGGGAAACCCATCAATTCTCCACTAAGAAGAAGATATACCAGGATTACAGTGAGGCTACTCTGTCCCTATTGACTTTGGCCACGACTTTCTAATGTAAAAACCTGCCTCTATAAACAAGTCAGTTATTTAAGAGACGTATTGCCCATCTTCAGCACTAAAGGCACCAGCCACCTGTCTCGGGACTTAAAACTCATTGATTAATTTGGCTAGTCTGTGAAGCATATCTCTGCCCTCTGAGCTGAAAATTGGGAACTAAGGCCTCATATCTCAGCCGCCTGAGATGAGAGTTGAGAACTTAAGGTTTCATATCACAGCCGCTAGAGCTGAGGGCCGGGAACAGGTTATTCATCTTTAAATATGTTCAAGGCAGCTATATTTGGAGTCTTAATGAGACTTAAAATTAATGTTATTATTATTTATATTATTAATATATTATTATTTAAAAAATTAATTGGAGCAATGAGGTAACTCGAATCAGCGATCAGAGTACTTCCAGTAGCGCATCATACCCGTGTTCACCGACATGGTATAAGTTATACAACCTGGAATGCCACTGAATCCCAAACATCTACCAGGGAAGAACACTGAAGAATATAATTAAGATCGGGAAGGGCAAAGGAGACAAGCAGCCTACATGCTTTAATGGCCGCACTACCTGCGACAAAGTTTAATAACTTCCGTGTACTTCGCATCTATTGCGTGAACCAGCCATTGCAACTATATTCCACGCAGCGTTATGGGGGAAGCTGAGAAATAAGTTCGTAAGTGGTATTAAGAGATTCAACAACCGTCTCCTTCAACTAAGTGGCCAAAGGTCCAACACACACCCGTCCCAAAGATAAGTTCGACTTCAAATGTAACAACTTAGAAATAAATTATTAATATAACACTCTTAGAACAGTAAATTTGCAGATTAACTTATGAGTCATTATTGTGTCTTCATGAAGGTCAGGTCTGGGTCACGTCTAGGATAGTGAGTCGTCTTCTGATGTGTAAACTACAACAGCAATTCTGTGTCACAAACCTCAGGCGACGTCGCCAAAAACCAGCATTAAAAAAAATCAAGAAAATCCCTAAAAGTCTAGTCTAAATGTCTGAATAAAGCAAAAAAAATCTTTAACCAGATATCTGACAAACAATTTTAACACACAACAACTTTTACCCCCCCCCCTCCCCCGCGGTCCACTCCTAAGAAACTAATATAAACAACAAACATAATTGTTTGTTGATATGCTTGCATTCTATGCCTCTATGTAGAGGCATAGAATGCAAGTTTTCCTATAAGTGCGAGTGTAGACAGGCCAGTTGCTGCTGCAATAGAGACGGAGTCTGTGGTCGACAGCCTTGGGGTCGACAGCCTTTGGGTCGACAGCCTTGGGGTCGACAGCTTGAGGTCGACAGCCTGAGAAGTCAGCAACCTGGGGTCAGCAGCCCAGCAAACATCAGTTACAGTGTGAGTCGATGAAAGCCACTACACAAATATTGACTCAACTGTTCCCGTTTAGCAGAATTTAATATTTTAATGGAATATTTATGGTTGGAACTTATTCCTTGGTATAACGGAGTTACTCTTAAATCGTCTCCGATGTGATAATATCTTCGGTATCATCGGGTCACATAAATGATAATATCTACGGTGTCAACGGGTCACATAAATGATAATATCTACGGTGTCAACGGGTCACATAAATGATAATATCTACGGTGTCAACTGGTCACATAAATGATAATATCTACGGTGTCAACGGGTCACATAAATGATAATATCTACGGTGTCAACGGGTCACATAAATGATAATATCTACGGTGTTAACGGGTCACATAAATGATAATATCTACGGTGTCAACGAGTCACATAAATGATAATATCTTTGGAATTATCGGGTCACATAAATGAGGCCCAAATAATGATAAACAAACTAATCTTCTCTATTTCAGTGTTAACTTTTATTTTATTCATCACTGACCAAGAGATGATATATAGATATCTTTTTATTATTATTATTATTATTATTATTATTTTCTTATCAAAATAGTACTGCAGTTGTATAAGCCAAAGACAATCACAACGTTCCAGTCACAGCGCCAGTCCCAGCATTCAGTCCCAACATCTGGTCCCAGCATCCAGTCCCAGCATTCAGTCCCAACATCTGGTCCCAGCATCCAGTCCCAGCATTCAGTCCCAACACACAAGCCATCTACGAGACTTTCTGAGTCTTGGGGGAAATCCCGCTGAAATTCCGGTCTTTTCCCCCAGGATTTAACAGCAAATTTCTCTGTCCCGCGATAAGGCTTCCAATTCTCTTCTGCGACCATAGAATAAATTAACCAATTATTTTAGTGAAACCAAAATAATGTGTTAAATATAATTTGCTGAAAATGATATTGTCCGACATATAATTTGATGAACATTATCTTATAATGTGATGTGCATTACATTGTCTTATATATATAAACCTTATGAGCACTGTCATTACAGATTCGATCCAGCGAGAAATCTTCATGGTCTTGGCTAATGATAAGCGAGCCTCAAGGTCTTTCTTCAAGGGAAACAAACGACGTCTAATTAAAAATATAACTTGATTAATCTTGGCAGTTTTTTTTTCACGGCATTATCTGACCCCGGCCGCGTTAGGAACCTCCCTAATGGCTCTAATTATGGCCTTAATGGCGTTCATCCACGATATTTTTTTGTTAACTCCCATTAAAAAACGACAATGAACCATTTCAGAGCTCCAAGATATGGCTCTCGTGTGCAATGCTGCGTTCTTGTTTACCATGAGATAAACTCCGCTCTCCGGTTTCCTTTCTCAGATTCGTCTATTGGCTGGAAGATTCGATGCAGCCGAGAGCTTTTTGGTTTCTACATGGCGAATCATTAGGTTCTGAGACGATGTGAAGAAGCAGCAGGCCAGGTGACAGGATTCCCATGTCTAAGATAGAGGGGGGGGAAGAAAGATCCACCAAACTTTCTTAAGACGAGATAAAACTACTGGGAAGAGGAGCGCAGAGCGATGTCGTCGTCTATCCTACATAGGATTAGTCGTTTAGAATTGTTCGGTTAATTTATTTATTATTTGTTGTTCTCTCTTATTTATCTTTCTATCTCTCACTATCTTTATCTCTGTATCTTTCTCTCCCTGTACCTCTTTATCTTTGTCTCTCTCTGGAAAGTTAGGAGCATCTGAGTTGAGTATCTTTACGGCGGTGGTCTCAGCGCTGATACTGACACTTGTACGCTGTGTGTAAACTTAACTGGCTGAACTATTGGTTAATAAGCCTGAGTCTAAGCTCTGGAACCGAGTTGTTTTCATAGCACTATCGGGAGCGTTCATAGCCGGAAAGCAATAAGAAAGCGTCGTGTTTGTTGTCAAGAAAGTTTCAGAGATTTTCTTTTGCTGTGTTTTGCTTGTCTTATTTCCTGTGGTGCTTTCTTTACTCTGGGATCTGTGTTTGACACTCGTCTTCCATGATAAAGTGAAGTTACAGTGCTCCTCTCCTCGGGTCACAACTGGAAATTGTTAATCACGCTCGGTTGTCAGCCAGGTTCTAGGAGTAGCTCAAACACCCGCTAGTCCCATAGCGACGCTGTGTATATATATATATATATATATATATATATATATATATATATATATATATATATATATATATATATATATATATATATATATATATATATATATATATATATATATATATATTATATATATATATATATATATATATATATATATATATATATATACATGTAGAAGAAGGACGGAAACTGGTTAAGCTGACTGTAAGCCAGTCTGACTGGATAGCACTGGGCGGGACATGACGCCAGGAACTGGGTTGGGAGGACGGAGTGAAGGGCCGGTGTCTAACCTCTTTCGACTATCAGGGATCGAACGACGACCCTACAAGAAGCAAACTCGTCACTTTACCGACCAGTCGTAGTGTGTGGTGTAGACTGAAAATGGTTTGCAATTCACTAGATCTGAGGATATGAGAATTTTTTGCTGGCCACCACGCGAGTATGGGAGGACCAAGAATAAATCAGGAGTTATTTGTTGAATTATTATAACATTACCGACACACGTCTTAGAAGCGATTATGGAGGTGTAATCTACTAAGACAATCTAAGACAATGTAATCTACTAAAACATTGTCTGTAATCTACAGACAATCTTAGTAAACAAGATTGTTTCACCGTGAAAGCTAACATAATTTAATCTCAAACTGTTAAAAAAGATAAATTAAGTCATCTTTTGTGATTGTTTTGCTTAAAAGGATATGTTCTTCTTTCACCCTCCAATACCAGACCTGTCAGTGGCCGTCATCGCTGCCTGGGACGCTGACGACGTCTCTGAGGGCGCCAACGCCAGGATCACCTACTCCATTGCCAAGAACGTCGTCTACGAACCCACGGGCGAAGCCATCTTTACCGTTGAACCCGACACTGGTCTCGTCCGCACCGCCATCTGCTGCCTGGACAGGGAAACCACTCCAGAGTACGAGATCCAGGTGGTGGCTGTTGACGGTGGAGGCCTCAAGGGTGAGTGTTGACGGTGGTGGCCTCAAGGGTGAGTGTTGACGGTGGTGGCCTCAAGGGTGAGTGTTGACGGTGGTGGCCTCAAGGGTGAGTGTTGACGGTGGTGGCCTCAAGGGTGAGTGTGACGGTGGTGGCCTTAAGAGTGAGTGTTGACGGTGGTGGCCTCAAGGGTGAGTGTTGACGGTGGTGGCCTCAAGGGTGAGTGTTGACGGTGGTGGCCTCAAGGGTGAGTGTTGACGGTGGCGGCCTCAAGGGTGAGTGTTGACGGTGGCGGCCTCAAGGGTGAGTGTTGACGGTGGTGGCCTCAAGGGTGAGTGTTGACGGTGGTGGCCTCAAGGGTGAGTGTTGACGGTGGCGGCCTTAAGAGTGAGTGTTGACGGTGGCGGCCTCAAGGGTGAGTGTTGACGGTGGTGGCCTCAAGGGTGAGTGTTGACGGTGGCGGCCTCAAGGGTGAGTGTTGACGGTGGTGGCCTCAAGGGTGAGTGTTGACGGTGGCGGCCTCAAGGGTGAGTGTTGACGGTGGCGGCCTCAAGGGTGAGTGTTGACGGTGGTGGCCTCAAGGGTGAGTGTTGACGGTGGTGGCCTCAAGGGTGAGTGTTGACGGTGGTGGCCTCAAGGGTGAGTGTTGACGGTGGTGGCCTCAAGGGTGAGTGTTGACGGTGGTGGCCTCAAGGGTGAGTGTTGACGGTGGTGGCCTCAAGGGTGAGTGTTGACGGTGGTGGTCTCAAGGGTGAGTGTTGACGGTGGTGGCCTCAAGGGTGAGTGTTGACGGTGGCGGCCTCAAGGGTGAGTGTTGACGGTGGTGGCCTCAAGGATGAGTGTTGACGGTGGTGGCCTCAAGGGTGAGTGTTAACGGTGGTGGCCTCAAGGGTGAGTGTTGACGGTGGCTGCCTCAAGGGTGAGTGTTGACGGTGGCGGCCTCAAGGGTGAGTGTTGACGGTGGTGGCCTCAAGGGTGAGTGTTGACGGTGGCGGCCTCAAGGGTGAGTGTTGACGGTGGCGGCCTCAAGGGTGGCTGTTGACGGTGGTGGCCTCAAGGGTGAGTGTTGACGATGATGGCCTCAAGGGTGAGTATTGACCGTTAATATGCATACTCCCAATATGTATTTGCAGATTCGAGTGCTAGCTTCTTGACCCTTCCTTTCAAGCTCTACCGGGCTATTCATGCCCGTGCCACCTCTTGGGTGGCTTAATCTTCATCAATCCTTTCTAACTGACGATCACATCTTTTGAACCTTTTTTTGAGTGTTACCTAAACAGTTTCTTTTTTTTCTAATCCATAACATCGCTGTGCATATCTTGTTGCAAGTAAAACTGTTCTTCACGTCTTTGTAACTAATCTTAGTCAATTAACAAACTCTTTATCTAATCCTATTGCTTCTCATTCTGAACATTGCTTCTATGTCTTTTTTAACTTTCCCCTTTGAATATTAGTACATGATTATGACCCCATGTTAATCTATTTAGGCGTGTGAGTGCGTGTGTATGTGGGAGTGGATGTGTTTTTATGTGTGTAGGTGTTAGAGTGTGTGCGTGTGTAAGAGGGTGGGTTTGTGTGAGTATGTGTTTATGTGAGTGAGTATATGTGAAAGAGTATGTGAATGTGTAAGAGGATGTGTGTGTGTGTGTGTGTGTGTGTGTGTGTGTGTGTGTGTGTGTGTGTGTGTGCGTGTGTGTGTGTGTGTGTGTGTGTGTGTGTGTGTGTGTGTGTGTGTGTGTGTAATCACCTAGTTGTACTCATCTAGTTGTGTCTGCAGGATCGAGCATTGACTCTTGGATCCCGCCTTTCGAGCATCGGTTGTTTACAACAATGACTCCTGTCCCATTTCCCTATCATACCTGGTTTTAAAATTATGAATAGTATTTGCTTCCACAATCTGTTCCTGAAGTGCATTCCATTTTCCCACTACTCTCACGCTAAAAGAAAACTTCCTAACATCTCTGTGACTCATCTGTGTGTGTGTGTGTGTGTGTGTGTGTGTGTGTGTGTGTGTGTGTGTGTGTGTGTGTGTGTGTGTGTATAGGAGTGTAAGTGTGGCCAGAGCAGAAGGCTGAGAGAGGTCGTCCTCCTCCTCCTCCTCGCTACAGGGACGGGCGTGGTGGCGGTGCGGCTGGTGGACGTCAACGACAACTGTCCCAGACTGGAACACTCACTCTGGGACCTGGAGACCGACGAGACCCGGGGCCAAGGTCCCCCAGACAACTCCACCCTCCTCCACCTCTCCGTCCTCGACAGTGACACATCCAACTACTTCTTCTACAGGGTGAGGCACTTCTCCTGGGTGAGGCACTTGTGCTGAGTGAGGCACTTGTGCTGGATGACGCACTTGTATATATATATATATATATATATATATATATATATATATATATATATATATATATATATATACACTCTTGCCCTCGTGTGATGTCCAGTATCTCCTGAAGGAGTTAACAGGTGTGGTCATCTCTGCGGCAGGTGGTGGAGGCGAGTGGTTGGGGATGGGAACACTTCGGCGTCAGGACGGTGGGCGCCGAAGGGCAGCTCTTCGCCAGACAGACGCTCGACTACGAGGACGAGACTCACCGCCGGGGTTTCCGGTTCATGGTCCAGGTGACTGACAAGGTGAGTGACAGCTGTGACCATGATGACAGGTGCACGGTACAGGTGAGTGACAGCTGTGACCATGATGACGCAGCCACATGTAAGGTTATAAGGATTTTGTACTGTAACAACAGGGGCAGGGTTACACTGTAACAACAGGGGCAGGGTTACACTGTAACAACTGGGGCAGGGTTATACTGTAACAACAGGGACAGGGTTACACTGTAACAACAGGGGCAGGGTTACACTGTAACAACAGGGACAGGGTTACACTGTAATAACAGGGGTAGGGTTACACTGTAACAACAGGGGCAGGGTTACACTGTAACAGGGGCAGGGTTACACTGTAACAACAGGGCAGGGTTACACTGTAACAGGGGCAGTGCTAAGTGTCTGTCTCCCGCCAGGGTCGCGGGGGGTGGAGGGACCCCCGTCACATGGACGCCGCCTGGGTCACCGTCCGCCTGAGGGACCTCAACGACAACCCGCCTCACTTCCACCGTCTGCACGCCCACGTTACTGTCAAGGAGGATGCCGCCCCCGGCACTCTCCTGGCCGCCCTCCCCGCCCACGACCCTGACATGGTGAGTACGCCCACCCGCCTGACACGGTGAGAACGCCCACAACCCTGATACGGTGAGTACGCCCACGCTCTCGCCCTCAAAAGGCTTCACCGTCATTACAGAAAACGGGTTTCCAATAACAGAAGGTAGACTGAATTCGCCAGCCTCCGGAAGCTCTGGCCAGCACCAATATGCAGTTGTATTATATGATGTCTAGGTCGCTCCCTACGGCGCGACCTGCGAAGCGCTTCCTGTATGAGACACTGAGAGGCGCAGGGAATAGCACCCTCAGAGGAGGGCCATCAAATATGTATCAAGATGGGTGGCATGATAGAGATATTTACATATGTGTGTGTATGTGTGTGGAGGCCAGTGGGCGTTCTGAAGGCTTACCTGCAAAGCTGCATATTAGAGCTGTGATCCTTCAGGCTCTGGTAAAATAGACCTCAATATCACACTGAAGCACGCACACGCGCGCGCACACACACGTACAAACACACACGTACACACACACACACACACACACACACACACACACACACACACACACACACACACACACACACACACACACACACACACACACACTGTAACAACAGGGGCAGGGTTACACTGTAACAGGGGGGACATGATCACCATATTCAAGATTCTGAAGGGAATTGATAGGGTAGATAAAGACAGTCTATTTAACACAAGGGGAACACGTACAAGGGGACACAGGTGGAAACTGAGTGCCCAAATGAGCCACAGAGATATTAGAAAGAACTTTTTTAGTGTCAGAGTGGTGGACAAATGGAATGCATTAGGAAGAGATGTGGTGGAGGCTGACTCCATACACAGTTTCAAGTGTAGATATGATAGAGCCCGATAGGCTCAGGAATCTGTACACCTGTTGATTGACGGTTGAGAGGCGGGACCAAAGAGCCAGAGCTCAACCCCCGCAAACACAACTAGGTGAGTACACACTAGGTGAGTACACACACACACACAAACACACAAAAAAAAACATTAGTTAGTAACAGTTGAGAGGCGGGCTGAAAGAGCAGAGCTCAACTCTCGTAAGCACAACTAGGTTAATACACACACACACACACAGTGAAGTGGAACCACCTTCTTAAAATGAGTACAGAAAAGTATCTTAAGAGTATATATATAACGCCAAGCTTACCTCTGGAGGCACATATAAACAGGATGACGATACCAGCGTATTCTGACCTGGCGAGCATTACGTTCTATATATTTCAATACAGACTGCTGCCTGCAAGTTCCAGACAATACAACACCATCGAACAGAATGAAGGATAAATCATTTTTTTGTCCTTTTATTAAATTGATATTTCATGTAAAGGAAAAAGTCTGCTTTCGTTTTTATTCGTTTTTTCATATAAATCTCTTGTGTTATACTTATTCGAGTTCTGTTGTCCTTGGTATTCTCTGTAGGAATTATTTAACCATCGTGTACTTGGTCCCGCCTCTCAATCGTCAGTCAACAGGTGCACAGGTTCCTGAGCCTATTGGGCTCTATCAAATCTACACTAAGAATTGTGTTTGGAGACTCCACCACATTACTTACTAATGCATTCAATTTATTAACTACTCTGACATTATCAAAATTCTTTCTAATGTCTTTATGGCTCATTTGGGCACTCAGTTTTCACCTGTGTCCCCTAGTGCGTGTGCCCCCTTGTTTTAAATTGTCTGTCTTTATGGGTGTGAGATAAATAGTGTGTGTGTGTGTGTGTGTGTGTGTGTGTGTGTGTGTGTGTGTGTGTGTGTGTGTGTGTGTGTGTGTGTGTGTGTGTGTGTGTGTGTGTGTGTGTGTGTGTGTGTGTGTGTGTGTGTGTGATAAGTTGGTAAGAAAGGCCAAGAAAATTGGGCTGCGGTAAGTCACTTGTAATACGTCTCGAAGGCTCTCACAACGTCCACATAATCCCTTGTTAAAAGCTTTAAACTCGATCCAAAACCTCATTCGTCTGGTCACTTAGTCTCTTGAACTAAGCTGTAATAGCATCAGCTACCGGACCACTCACAATAACCCGATTATAATGGATTCCCGCCCTTCTTCCGCATCGTCTAGCAAGTGTCTACTTGTATGGAACCTCGTCTCTGTCTCTGTTGACATTAGAACATAAGAACATAAGAACAAAGGTAACTGCAGAAGGGCTATTGGCACATACGAGGCAGCTCCTATCTATAACCACCCAATCCCACTCATATACTTGTCCAACCAGCGCTTGAAACAATCGAGGGACCCCACCTCCACCACGTTACGCGGCAATTGGTTCCACAAATCAACAACCCTGTTACTGAACCAGTATTTACCCATGTTGAACATTCATGTTGAACACAAATGATAATAATATTACAAATAGTCTGTAAATAATATCGAAATCCATCAAAAAGTTAACTTCATTTGTTAATATTTGGCATGTACACCCTAAATAATAATCAATTGATATGATATTACATAGAGAGGTTTTTTTTAGGTCGGCGAGCTTGCCTTTCCGTCATTAATCCGGGACCGCAGCAGAAATTCATTAATGACATTTAACCGGAAAGAGTCAATTTCCTGCTGGCACATTGTGTTGCGTACTCCCAGTGTGTAAAATGTACCAGCATCCTGCTAATCCCATGCCATAATCTGCACCAAACTTTTTGCGAATTCAAGAATACATGTAAAGCGTATCTAATCTAATAAGCCTATCTGGAGTAAAGAAATAACGAGGAATTTGACAGAGCGAATAAAAGCAAGTTGGTGAGACAGACAGGAGTAGACAGAAAAGCAGAAACAGACAGGCACCAGCAAACACGTACAGGTAGGCACATACACAGTCTTTAACCAATGGAAGTGATGCTGTTGAAGTAGACTCCATGCGCAGTATCATATGTAGATATGACAGAGCCCAATATGCTCAGGGAGCTGTAAAATAGTTTAGTGACAGTTGAGAGGCGGAACCCAAAGAGCAGAATTTTAACCCTCGCAAGCACAATTAGCCGAGTACGGGAAAGCACAAAGACAGGCAGGAAGAGAGAGATTTGATTGATTGATAAAGATTAACCCACCCAAGAGGTGGCATGGGCATGAATACCCCGTAACGGTAGAGAGACAGGCAAAAAAGGGACAGGTAGACGCAAGCGCATTCACACACACACACACAGGTTGAGAGACAGGGATTCAGACAGAATGATCCCACATCCTGTACATGCATACAACACACACAATATCTGCCAAAGTGCATATTGAAATTACTCCCAGCTAATTACTCTTGTATTTAATATTCATAAATCCTGAATTGGGTGCGACAGGTCGGATCTGGATCATGCCTTGTTCATTTCACTGACGAGCTTGTCATACTCGTCATGCAGTTGATAATTAATTCTGATACGAGTGACAGTTATGTTGGTACTTGATGACATAACGAAACTAGTACGATAACATTCCAAAAATAATGTAAATATCCACGATTTATCCAACATTTAGAACTCATATGTATTAATGATGATAAACAATATATATATATATATATATATATATATATATATATATATATATATATATATATATATATATATATATATATACATATCCTGTTCAGATCAATGCAACAGAGAAGATTTTTTTTTTAAGATTTTCGGGAAGAAATTTATGGTAGAATGTCCCTGCGTATCACACGAGCAGCCATATTGGTTGACGTTTTTTTTCCCCAGGGTGGAGAGGAGGGTGTGGAGTACCGTGTGGAGGGGGCGTGGGGCGCCCTCAGTGTGGACTCTGAGGGAGGAGTGAGCTTGCGTCGCGCCCTGGACCGCGAGGCTCCGGACGGAGCTATAGGCGTAGCCAAGATCGTGGGCGTGGACCACGGGCGGCCGCCCCTCACCGCCACTGCCACCCTCACCATCACAGTCACCGACGTCAACGACAGTCCGCCCGTCCTCCTCCCGCCCACACTCTTCCATGTGACCGAGGGCGCCGCGCCCACGCTCCTGGGCGCCCTCACTGCCACCGACCACGACGTGTGGGCGTTGGGGCACGGCCCGCCCTTCAACTTCTCCTTGGCGCCCACAAACCCCGCCCACGTCCTCGCCCACATCTCGCTCAAGTTCGACCCTCGTGAGTACTTTAGAATATAAATTTATTCACTCTTATGTAACTATAAATGCTGTGATTGTTCAAGTTCTCTTCCTGGCGATCAAACGATGGAAAGATTTTTATCCTCCTTCAAAGCTGGGTTTTCCGGGCGTTTAATGTCTAGTTACCTTTATCCAACTCCGCCATATCCTAAAATAACGTGACCAAACACATCGTAGCCTTGCGTGATGTAATCTAACTTATCCTTTACATAAACAAACGTATATAAGTTATTCACTCTCTCGATACTGAGATCTTATGAATAACAAATACGTAACCAGTCTATATTTTTTTATATTCATGTAAGTAAGTTGACGATGTATTTTTTTTAGAAATGTGGGGAATGGGGAAATTCCAAAAACTACATATGCATAATGCTCCACCTTTGGTGCTCCGATATGGATGAAGTTTCCATAGTTATTTTTCCTCATCTATCCACTCCTGGTATAGCTCAGTGGGACCACCTTAAACCTTGACAGACCTGGACAGTGGTCGAGGCGGGGCCGAGGTATGGACAGTGGGCCCCGTGGACAGAGAGGAGCACCGTCAGCTGCTGGTGGGGGTGGTGGTGGCTGACGCGGGCGGGGTGTCCGCCACCCACACAGTCACAGTCATCGTCGACGACATCAACGACAACCCCATGAAGCCTGGAGCCAAGACCGTCTACCTCTGGAAGACCCAGGTGGGAATTCTGTTAAAACGTTGCCCAAGAAAAAGATTAACTTGCAGATGCTGGGCCAGTCAAACAATGGCTTAGTATTCTTGCCTCTTCTTGCTCTTCAGTTACACTCCGTCTCTCCTTAATCGTGCTATTTTTTTATTTCGTACTCAACGTTTTCGTATGGCACTTTTATACCTTCCTCTATGTTCTTTCCTAATATCACATATACTGCTTTAACACCAGCGTCTCGTAAGCATACATAGGCGACGGCGCTACTGCTTCTGCATGCAAGCGTCTGGCCGCATCTATTATTTTACTTTCCTTAACCAAAGCAATTATTGCACCAGCTACTTTCCTTTCCCGATTGAGCCTGTTCTCAACTTTGTACAAATTTCTCACTTAACAAACCCAGACCCAAGGTATTTATGTTCATCGGCCACTTACAGGCACCATTCCTTTCCTCCGTCCAATCCCAAATCCTTATCCTCATCCCTTCCAAGTGCTATATAGTCATAATGGCTAAGCACTTTCTCTTGATAATTTATAATTGTCTCTAAAGTGCTATAACTTTACCTTTGTCCCCATTCATTTCATGTCTTCTCTCACATGCATCAAATTTCACATGCCCTTAATTACTCATATTATGGCTGTCTCCTTGGTTTATAATGGGTTTTCTCGGCTCCTGCAGGGCGGCGGGTCGGACGCACCGCTGGGCCGGGTGTTCGTGGACGACCCGGACGACTGGGACCTTGGGGACAAGACGTTCCGCTGGCTGGGGTCCCCACACCCGCTCTTCTCCCTCAACACCAACACTGGTGACCTGTTCGCCTCCAGCCAGGTGAGGGAGGCCAGGTAAGTCTCCTCAGCCATTCATTCTGAATCCTCATAGCATTTCATTCACTTAAATCGTGAGGGATTTTGAACTAAGACCTGCAAGAATACGTGACTGTCACTCTACCAACCAGGCCAGGAGGATCACAATAAGTACCTCGGAAAGTACCTAACTAATGCTCAATCTGGGATTGAAACCTTCGCTAGGTTTCGACGGTACATGAGGCAATCCGCCGCTTTTATCTATCGTGTAAGCTCAGTGTTGCTACCCAACAGATATGAGCTGCAGTTCGCGGTGAGTGATCAGCTGTGGGGTCAGCGAGACGTAGAGGCCAACGTGACTGTGGCTGTGAGGATACTGACGCCCGACGCCCTTGCCCACGCCGCGCCCATCACCCTCACGCCCACCACTCCCGCCCACCTCGCCAAGGGATGGACGCCAGAGGTGGGCTTTTATAGTATGAACACTGAGTTTAGTTAGAAGTGTGGATTGTCTCTACTTTCCGAGCATATAACGAAGGTCGTCTATTATCTGTTATTCCCATGTTCTCCCGTGTGCCCCATGTTCTTCCATGTGCTCCTATGTTCTTCATGCAATCCCATGTATTCTAAAAATTTAGAAGCATCAATTAAATTTTATACTCATTGTTGTGGCGCTAAACAGCAGGGCGGTGGCGGAGTGGGTCAGGTGATACAAGGTGTGCAGCGGGTGGTGGGTGAGGCCGCCCACACGGTGGAGGTGGTGAGCGTCTCCACCCATCTGGACCCGACCCACCTGGACCCGACCCACCTGGACCCGAACCACCTGGACCCGACCCACCTGGACCCGGCCTACCAACACGACACACCTCAAGAAACAGCAGACAGACAGTCCCCGGAAGCCAGCGTGTGGATAAGCATCAGAGACCGGAAGGGAAGCTTCATGGATCCTATCAAATTGCAAGGTCTTCTAGCTTTGCACTCACAACAGGTGTGTCCTTATATGTGATATATATATATATATATATATATATATATATATATATATATATATATATATATATATATATATATATATATATATATATATGCCAAGGACTACAAAGAAATTAGTAGGAGATATGTCTAAACCCCAATAATTGTATGGAATTCTTGCGTGTCGATTATAATCAACTGTAGAGCAATCATTTGTTTACATTCTTCACAGATAGAGGCGGCCACCAACTTGACGGTGGTGATCAAGTCTCCGACCACTTGGTCTGACGGAGTGCCTCTGGGGTTCCGGGATGACCCAGCCCTCCGTGCAGGCCCGCTTGATCCCTCCTCGGCCGCCTACCGCGCCTCCACCACCCTACCACTACAGGTAACGAGCAGAGTTCAGCTTAGTCACGAAGTGGAAAGTTCAGCTAGGACTTGTAGCATGAAAGTTAAACCATGATGAATGGAGAATAAATCGTCTCGATCCTGTAGACGGTACATTAGATAGATCCTGTAGAGAGCAGGTCAGCTAGATCTTGTAGAGAGTTGGTCAGCTAGATATTGTGGAGAGTAGGTCAGTTAGATCATGTAGAGAGCAGGTCAGCTAGCTTGAGTGTAGCTAAGGTCTTGGAAGGTTATGTGAAAGCAAGGGCTGCCATACTGAGTGAAAGCAAGGCCAATTAAGTCTCGTGACAACGAAAGTAAAGCGTCATAAGGTGTCAGCCGTTGTCTAAGGGCTTGACAAAGCCCTTAACCATTAGCCCCTTTGCCCTAAGGGCTTGACAGAGCACAGCTCGGCTTGCAAAGCCTAGCATTGACCCGACAATCACATCTAAGCGAGTACATTTGCGTGAGTACACCGTGGTCCAGGTGGGAATACCGTGGTCCAGATGGGTATACAGTGGTCCAGGTGGGTATACCGTGGTCCAGATGGGTATTGCAGCTCGCCACCTGGGTGAAACGGGTTACGAAAAACAAAATTAAGGAACTAAATCTCATCCAACCTTACTGGATGAGAGAGGAAACAGAAACCAAGGGAGAATAAATGAGAATATATTCCTTGACACGACGGGAATACGAACAAGGGGACATAGATGAACATTATACCTGGTATACTCATACCAGGATGAGACACAGGTACTTAATACAGAACTTTAATATCTGAATAATCATGGGCTATGAGCAACTGTATGGAGACTCTCTACACTGATTTAAATATATACATGAATATATGTACTAGAATATATTATTGAATCTGAGTTAAATATTAATACCTATAACTACGCCTATGTGAGTACACACACACACACACACACACACACACACACACACACACACACACACACACACACACACACACACACACACACACACACACACAATATGGTAAAGGAAAATCAAAACAAACGATTGTTCTTCAGGTGGTGGACATCAACTCGACATCTCTGGTGACCCCACGCCTCTCCCACGCCCATTCCTGCCACGCCCACGAGTACGAGACCTGCACGGCCTCCTCCTGCCTCAACGGTGGGCGTTGTGTGGCCACCTCTACCGGCAACAGGTAACGTACCGGTGTATTTTGGTCATGTGCTCCTGCCCAAGTTGAGACATGGGCTCAAGTACCACCTTCCTTGTTCAAGGGGCTTCTTCTCCGTGGTTTAATGTGTTTTAGTTCTCTCTTCCTGTGGTGTAGTATGCACAAATACAGTCTTATTTGAATTTATGTAGTTAACCTGGTCTGGTTAACTACATGCCCCCACTCTTCATGGTGTATTGTGTCAAGCTCTGTCTCCTCCAAGGTGCAATGTGCACAAGTTCACTCTCCCGATGAGGTAAAAAAAAAAAGTACTTATGTTCCATCATCCAGTGTTGTTAAAGAGGCAAGTACCACCTCTACGGAATGGCAGTGACAGCAAACCGTTCTCAGGTTACGTTCGCCTAAGCCGCAGCAGACCCCCCCCCCTCCCTCTTAATAGAAAATAAAATAAAAATGAGTATGATACATTTTGAGAGGGGCTACGGTAGGTTAGGTGTTTTGTTTCTGTTAATGATATGTATTCGCAGCACGTTAGTGAAGCATTGTGACGTACAGGTCGAACACGGAAGACTGCAGGCTGCCTATCAGGTGTCATGTGTGAAGGGTTTTAATTCATAAACAGGGGCGTTGGGGGGGGGAGAGAGACGACTGCCGGGTCATCGAGTGTTCGATTATTGTTCATGAGGATGGGTTGCCATCCTCATGAACAGCCGCATTCATATTTACATCAAAATTTCACTCAATTACAAAATCCCTTCCCTAAGTGTATACGAATGTGGTTCTGAGGAGCGCTCGTGCATTGGCCGACACAAAATATATTCATATTACCGACTGTGAATTTAAATAAAAGTACATCCGTAGCTGTGTATTTTTATACTTCGGTAATTTTGTGTTGTAAACTGTTTTGCATTGTGCAGGTGCGTGTGTCCAGAAGGGTCGTGGGGGGCGCGGTGCAAAGTGCTGGCCCGCACCTTCACAGGCGACGGGTGGGCGTGGGTCCGCCCGCTGCCTCCCTGCTTCCCTACCACCATATCTCTCCGGCTCCTCACACGCCGTCCCCACGCCCTCGTCCTCTATTCCGGCCCTCTGGCGACCGTCCCACGCCACCCGGACGACCCACCCACGCCCATGCTTGCTCTACAAGTGTGGCGTGGGCGTCCTCAGCTGCTGCTGGAGGGAGGCGCCGAAGCTCTCAAACTGGAGGTCAACCGCACAGTCAACGACGGTGACTGGCACACCATCCATCTTCACCTCCACGCTCACGTAAGTCACGCTTATACACAGCCAACGACGGTGACCGGTATACCATCTATGTTCACTGTCGTTTAGGTCAAGTAGCACAGACGCTCGACACTGTAAGCACATCTAGTCACGCACACACTTGTGTGTGCGTGACTTTTGTCAATATTATCAAAGGCAGGGTTCGAATGTTGAAAAGTTGATTGATTGATGAACATTAAGCCACCCAAGAGGTGGCACCTTTCAGTGACTTCCCTCGTTTCTATTGGACCAGTTGAGTATTCCCTTTACAAATGTTGCACCTTTTCCGTGCCAAGTAAACGACTGACTCTGACTATAAAATAATACCACTTCCCCTTTCCTCGGCACAAAGGGCGCGTCTCTGATGGTAGACCTGTGTGGGCGCCAACAGGACAGTAGCGACGACTCTCAGTGCGTGGCGCGAGGGACCTGGCTCAGCCCTGAGCCCCTGAAGAGGTGGTTTGCCTTAGGTCCCTTGCAAGTAGGAGGACTGGCACACGCGCCTCCAAACCCCGCCCACCACGGATGGCGTGAAGCACCCACGCCACGCCCACTAGACGGCTGTCTCTCACACCTCACACTCGACCGTCAGGTGAGGTTATGCCCATTGAGGCTGTCAGTTTGTGGAAGAAACTGCTGTATCGGCGGGCAGGGCGGGCGATGCATCAACTGACTGTCCCGTAGCTTCCTTACAGCTGGTGGACCTCGGGGAACCCGCCTACAGCTGCGGTAGTAAGGGCGGCTGCCACTTCCAGACGGCGGCGTGTCCGGGTGGCTGTGGGCACCGCGGCCTGTGTGTGGGTGGCATCAACCACCCAGTGTGTGAGTGTGATCCAGGGTGGGCGGGGCCCAACTGTGCCACGCCCACCGTTCCTGCCACTTTTGGACCTTCGTCGTTTGTGAAACTGGCGCTGAGCTTCATGCCGGCGCCACAGATGGTGATGGTGCAGCTGCGTCTCAGAACCCGCAGCACGGGACATGGCCTCCTGCTGCACCTCGCCGCCCACCAACATTCCCGGGCATTGACAATTCAAGTAGGAGAATTTTATATGACGTTAAACTTAAACACCATCATTATTCTCTTTTATTTGTGACCATACTATATGAATGCGTTATTTCGTACGTTATAAGCATTTCAGGTCAGCTAATAATATGTCAAATGGTACATTTACATAGCTGCGGGATGGAGTGGTTTGCGCGTCGGCCGCAGGGGCGGCGCGGGCGGCGTGCGTGGAGGGGCGGCCGGTGGGTGACGGCGCCTGGCACACCGTCAGGGCGGAGCATCACGGCCCCAACCTGGTGGTGAGCGTCGACGACGGCGACTTCTGGCGACGCAACGAGACTCTAGTGTCACTAGAGATGCCCGAGAGAGAAGGGAGCGTCTCCCAGCCTCCCGTCTCCCAGCTAGATGGGGTGACATTGGGAGGCTTTCCGGACTTTGTGGGTATGAGTCTCGCCAGCGTTGTGGACGACCTACAGGACAGTGAGTCTAGCTAGACTGGGTCTAACTGCAGCTCTTATTTCCTATTTCATTGTGGTTATTCTTGTTTTGATTGTGGTTATTCATCTTATTCATGTGGTTATTCTTATTTTCAATGTGGCTATCATATGGAAAGTAAGTGTATGTTAGCTTTATTTTTATGTGGCCTGTCAGGCTGTATCGACGACGTACGTGTCTCAGGCCGTCAGCTGCAGCTGCCGCCAGCTGTGAATGGCAGCAGGTGGGGTCAGGTGACCAGCTGGCAGGGTCTGGAGCCAGGCTGCACCGCCCCTGATGCCTGTCTCAATGCCACCTGCGACGCGCCCCTCTCCTGTGTCTCCACCTGGGGCACCGCCACCTGCAGGTCAGTCACCTAGTCGCCTCCAGTCTCTTAACACCGAGGTCATAAAGGATTTCATAACACATATTGTACTTATTACAAACTAAATGGTCCTCATAACGCACTCATTGTCCTCATAACACGCCTATTGCCTCTATAACGCACTTATTGCCCTCATAATACTCTTAATTGCCCCTCATAACACACTTATTTCGTTTAAAACACACACACAGACACACACATATGTCCTGATAACACTGAGTTCGCGCACTTTAATAGTTAATAACTTAACAAATTGCACAAATTACCTTAACAGCTCCTCAGGCGAATGCAGTTTACTATTAATTGTGCAACAAGGCTAGTTATTTAAGGCCATAGACACCGTAACACGACGTCTCCCACTTCAAGAGACCTCTCAAAAATGACCAGGAATGTTGCTTTCCCCCCCTGGTCAGCTGTGGTCCAGGAGAGCAGGTGGTGGGAAGCGCCTGTGAGGACGTGGACGAGTGCGCATGGCGGCCCTGCCTGCATGGCGGCTCCTGCTACAACCTGCGGCCCGGCTTCCAGTGTGTCTGCGGCCCGGGCCACACAGGCGATCATTGCCAGTGGACGGAAGTGGCCACCGCGGGCCACCCACTAGCGGCCCCTGTGGCCATCGCCGCCCTTACAGTGTCACTACTACTTCTGGGTCAGTATAGTGCCCCATATTATCATTCTTTTTTTTTAAGTGTTTCAGTTCCAGAATCTAATACTGTATCTGCATTTCGTGGCATTTTCTATATTATAGTTTTAAAGAAGGTTCGTATCCTTCCAGCGTTGATCTAAGCATGCTATGTGACCTGCCTTTACTGTCAAGTTTCTGCTGAGTTCGTAATAGTTATTACTGGCGCAGCAATCGTGTCTTTGTGTTTAGTGATAGTGTTAATGTCGTATATTTATCAGTCCCCCATACAAAACACATGACTTGGGAAATTGAAAGATACTGCAATTCAATATTATTATTGGTGCATATTTTCACAATTCACAATATAAAATTCAAAATGGTTGGGCCACAACATTTTTCAACTCATTCTTACCTGATTTTCCAATCCACAGTCATATTGTTTTCTCAACTGCCCAACCCATTTCCTTCGTGTTATTCTAATATGATAATTCAAATAAAGAAGCGCAAAGTTCTTCGTTGCTACTGGTCCTTATACCTGCGGTTTAGTGGTGGTGGGCGTGGTGGTGTCCCTGCGGCTGCGCCGTCAGCGGGTCCCCCGGGGATCGGGAGGACGCCAGAGCGAGGAACAAGGTCTGAGAGCGAAGGCTAAACACGAGGAGATGGAGGTGTTGACCAGGCTGGGAGACGAGCGCCACCAGGCCCTCCTTCAGGGTCTGCAGCATGGACCTCCTCCGTCTCTCACCCCGTGCACAGGTAGGCTGCAGCTTCCTCTCGTGGTGTTGCTTGGACACTTTGGCAGTGGTCATGGTGTTATGCTTTGCATTTTAGTATTATTATTATTATAAATCAATATTACTATTTGTTATTACTACTGTTGTATTTGTTATGATTTGTCATTTTCTGTGACCACACCTGTATCGATGTGGCTAGGCCCACTTTTTTACATTATTGACTACCATTTTGTTGTATTAGCCATTTATTTGCAATATTATGCAGCCAGTCACCAAACCTTTAAATATATGTATATATATATATATATATATATATATATATATATATATATATATATATATATATATATATATATATATATATATATATATATATATATATATATATATATGGTATATATATAATATATATATATATATATATATATATATATATATATATATATATATATATATATATATATATATATATATATATATATATATATATATATATATATATATATATATAAATATATATATATATATATATATGTATATATATATATATATATATATATATATATATATATGTATATATATATATATATATATATATATATATATATATATATATATATATATATATATATATATATATACCACTGAAGTCCGTGTCATCCCCGGTGTTCCAGGAGGTGGGGTCGTGTCTGTGAGTGCTGGGGTTGCGGTCAGTGTCGGTGCGGGCGCGCTGGCAGGCAGAGGCGTGGGGGGCTCAGACCCCCTGCCAGCCAAGGACGACCTTCGAGCCTACGCCTACGAGGGAGACGGATCATCTGCCGGGTCTCTGTCCTCAGCATTATCAGGTCCGTAATTCCACGGTTCGTCAGTCAGGTCTGTAATGGCAAAGTTCGTAAGTCGAGTCCGCAGCTACAAGGTCTGAAAGTCAGGTTTGTAGCCGCAGGGCTTGTCACAGTTGTAGCTGCAAGGTTCTCAAGTCAGGTCTATAGCAGCAAAGTTCATAAGACAGATCTGTAACTGCAAAGTACAGAATACACGTCTGTAACTGTTAAGACCCCAAGACAAGTTGAGGAAAGGTTTGTAATTTTGTAATTCAGGTAGCACATCTTCAGGCAATACTTGTCTCACCTACAATTCAATATATCACGTTATTAACAGTTTGGCCATATTTCCATTATTAAGAAGTCTGCTTCCTGTCAAGTTTAATCAGAGAACCACTAATTAAACTCTTGGCTTTAACTGCGGAGAGACACATTACTGTCGTCAGATTTCTACTGGTCTCCGTATAATCTTTATACTAATATCTCGGATGCATTTAGTAATCACTAATAGAATATTATCGTAATGACTGTGTTTTTCTTGTCTTATTTGATATATAAATCTATCATTATGGCAAACTTTCATTATGACCTGCACGCTTATCTGGAAATTCTGCAAGCATATAACGGGAACATTTATTGTATGTAGACGTCCATCCCACACATTTCATAATAAAAGAAGATTCGACTTGGTAGTGGTCCAGGACGAACCGAAACCTCGTCACTGTATTTATTTTCCACATGTGTGGGTTGGGTGTCTAAATTTTAGCCACGTTATTGGCACGCCGTTTGTATTTATGTATCTCTTTTGTTTGTTTTTTCTCAACAGGTCTTCGGGAGGAGCAATGTGATACAGAAAACTTTAAACTACTTGTTCCGGAATTTCTTGAAGTTGTGGATTTGCTGAAGAACCTTCCCGATGCAGCCAAATCCCCCTCACTTGCGTCCAAACTTGATGATCATCGAAGGGGTAATGCAAATCCTCCTTTGGCACGAAGGACAGCTGGACAGTCAGGGTCACTGTGTTCCAACGGTGACAAGATTCCTGCCGCAGTGAGGAGGAACGCAGGATTATCTCCTGAAGACACTCAACCGGCAAATGATCAGGTTCTCAAGTCGACGTCCCAGGAAGGAGAAGGCATGACAATGTGTTGAATTAATCAAGTAGGTCCTACAGGTGCAACACTCTACCTGATCCCATACGTGATGGACCTAAGCAACCAGGAAAACAATACGATTTTGCTTAATGGACTTCAGGAAATGAATTTCCAAAATTGAATTTCGAACTCAATCAAACTAGTTTCTCTGATTTGATTCAATCACTGCGATTATGAATTACCACGCAGTGCATAGTCACACGATGGAAATAAAGCATGATAACCCAAAGAAAAGATCAGGAAATACAAAAAATGCAATTAAATTTTTTGTTAGCTAAATGGAACTTTAAAAGGAACCTCAAATTTTAGGATAAATGTGAATTGTTTAAAGTAACCTGAAAATAAATGTACAAAATATGTGTTGTGAAATAAAGTGTGACCAAGGTAAGGTAATTATCGGGGAAAGCACTAAGCCAGTGAGGAGGAAGCACTAAACACTTGTCTACAGCCTAACAACATAAGCTTTTAAGGGTTGATAGATGTTAATCTTCTTGTTTGAGGAGCTGTTCACTTGAGACAGTTAAGCAAGTCCCAGCTGTGTCTGGGTACAAGTGACAGGATGAACAACCCAGCGGGTTTTCTTCCTATTGGGGAGTGTTGTACATGCGGCTATCGCGGTGTGTCCATTCACAAGATGAGTGGCGCTGCCCAATAAACTCGCCCCTCGGGGCAAAATTTAAATTTAAAAATTCTGGCAGAGTTGAGTTTTACAAGCCAGAACAGGCGGTGGGTCCGGTACTTTGTCGAGAACGCCTACAAGCAACTCTGAACTACGAAATAACATTGACACAAAATCAATTCTCTCTCTCTCTCTCTCTCTCTCTCTCTCTCTCTCTCTCTCTCTCTCTCTCTCTCTCTCTCTCTCTCTCTCTCTCTCTCTCTCTCTCTCTCTGAGTGACACGACATTTCCATTTGTTGACTGGATGTTTTAGGCTGTGATATTCTTTTACCAATTACTTTTACTTTTACTAATTTAGTATTAACATTTTGTGACCAAAATGTTTGAAAAAAGGGGATCAAATGTGACGTGATTTCGGATATTTTGTATTTTTATAGAATATCTGAATTATACCTTTTAATCATAAATGTGTGTTATTCTCCTTTAGATATCCCACATGTCTTCGGCATGGTATATATACTATACATGGCGAGGCGTAATGGTTAATGTATTGTTCACTTTGTCAATGGGATAAGAACCATTGGGCCTGGCCGGAATCTGGACAGGTGACCGCGTTGACAGCCAAGCCCATTGACTAGAGTGACCTCGAGAAGCCTGTCCCCCGACATTGGTATATTTTGTTTGTCTTGTCAAATAAGTTTCGTATATAAAGTGTATTAAGTTATTCAGCACTAAATGCCACAAAAGTAGAACATTCCGTCTTCTTACCGGAACAGACAGTTCTTTGAGTATATATATATATATATATATATATATATATATATATATATATATAAATATATATTATATATATATATATATATATATATATATATATATATATATATATATATATATATATATATATATATATATATAGGGGGGGTACCACCTCTGGTGCAATTATTGGGACCCACAGCCTCAAAGAAGGGAACACAGAACATTCAGAGAAAAACTATTTTCTCTGAATACGTGTGAGTGTTCACTTCTCCTACCACCCCCCTTTTTTATGGTGTACACTTTATTATGCAAGGTTATACAGTTACATATCTGATTTTATACAAAAAATGAACATTGAGAGGACACAAGAAAAAGTTCGCTTTCTAGAGGCTGTAGATTTTCTCGAACTCCTCCGACGCCGGGCAGGAACTGAGGATGCAGCGGGCATTTCCCCCTCTGGATCGCGACACTGAGGCGCTGAAAGAGAAAACTTGCCGCTCTAGGGTCTCGTAGTGTCAATGAGCTTGGAACCAAGATCCTTAAGAAACCTTCTTGCACTCTCTCCCCATGGGCCTAGGGTCTCAGACCCTATTAGAACGAAGTTGTACCGATGATCTAATTCCCTGTACTTGGCTGACTTGTATCTTTCTCTGCGTGTCGCCGCTGCTCCTGCTGTGCCGGCAGAGAGGTTGATGTATGTGGTTGCCAGGGTGGATACGCATGTATAGTCCCACGCCAACTGTCTGCCACCCTTCCACGGGCGCAGTGTGATTCCGTCTGGTCGGCACGGCAGAGCTAACAGAGTCTTCTTTTAATGATATCATGACTTCTTCGTCGTGTCTAGTGTGCCAACCACCAGATTTTCCATAGTGCAGGCCATGCAATCCATATTCGTCAGCATCTGCCTCGCTGCAAATACACCTATACAATAATACAATTGTCTGGGACTGATGTGAGTATATGAGTTATTGTGATTCATGTTAGAAAGAAGGTAGGTGCTTGAAATACCTCACAGGGAGACGTACCCCCTGGTGTGTGTCCTGGGCAGTGTTCTCATCATGGCGACGCGTCCCCAACAGCCTTGATGTGTACAATAGCCCTTAAGAACGACCCCATTCAAATGCAAATGGGCCGCAGAAACCCTACAAACGGAGGTGATTTACATGCAGTTCCGGCCTGGGCCAGGAACCCCCGAGCAGAATCGGGACAGGAATTAACAGGAAGGGGTTTAGATGTCTAGGGAAAGGAGGTGGGCGCGATCGTAAAGTTAAATCAGCATTATGTCTTGTTACTTGAAAATATATTTGAGGTAAAAAAATACGTGAGGTCAAACATGCGGTGAAGTCAAACATGTGTGTGTGTGTGTGTGTGTGTGTGTGTGTGTGTGTGTGTGTGTGTGTGTGTGTGTGTGTGTGTGTGTGTGTGTGTGTGTGTGAGGTAAAATATAGGTGTTGGAAAATATACACAAGACCAAACATACGTGATGTATGAACGTATTGGTGGTGAAGGGCGAGCTCTGTGAGTCTCTTCAGCGGCCAATCATATATCAGCCCGTCCTCCAAACAAAGAGCCAAAGTCCATTCCATACACCCGCCAAACCCCCTGTTTATGAATGAAAAATGGTTTACACACGACTCATAACTGATGACGTCCGAACACTTCCGGAACAAGTGCTTCACTGACGAATTTTGTTCAAACCACAACGCTGTAAATACTTCACCCGCGTACTACAAATACAAATAATCGCCAACGAACCTAAAAACCTAACCTAACCATACCAGTGCCTAAATATGTACAATATGCTAATAAAAAACTATATTAATTTATATTTGATATAATTCCTGTTGTGAATGAACATGTTAAAATTGATGACTGCGTATTTGGGGTCGTCCGCTGGATGGAAGAGACATGGTCCGAGGACGGGTTGAGCTTCTTCACTGGCCTATACCTACTGATGAAACTACGTCCGTAATTAGGCTTCAACTACATTTCCCCTTCAATTCATCCCGCTTGCTCGATACTCTTACACTCAAGTGGCACCCTGACAGCCACTTGGCTCATTTGGACGTCTAGTTTTTATCCATGCCCTCTCGTCCTGTCACACCAAAACAATACTTTATAATCCATTTTCTCAATTCCTCCGAGAATGTTCTAGGTTGTGATCATGTCTCCTCTACCTCTTATCTTCTCTGGTGTATTAAAGTTTGGTAATACCTCACTTGTTTAGTATCTGTACGCTCCAGTTGTTCACTGCTCGTACGATTTACCTAATACTCTCCTACATTTCTCCAGTCCATTTGTGATTCCGAGCCCCATCCCCTTCCCTCCCTCCCTCCTCCTCTCTCTCTCTCTCTCTCTCTCTCTCTCTCTCTCTCTCTCTCTCTCTCTCTCTCTCTCTCTCTCTCTCTCTCTCTCTCTCTCTCTCTCGCTCTCTCTCTCTCTCTCTCTCTCTCTCTCGTGCACATTAGTGTGTGTGGCCGGGTCCTTGCCTATCGCTCAGGTGCCGCCACACAATAAATACTATAAACCACTCGATAAGCTACTTCCATATATTGTGATTTCGGCACAAATGCTAATCTGGTTGTTGCAGGGCGGCCTTTGTCACCGGAGCCGACACTGCCTCTCTGGGACCCTTTCTACCCGACGTGGAAGCTTAAGCTGGTACTGATAAGCTTAAAAAAATTACGATATTTTACGTAAGTCGTTAAGAAGAATGACTGTCGATCTTAAATCAGTCTTATCGAGGGGTTTCATTACCGTTTTTTTTTTAATTTAGGCTCTTTTTCTTCCTTTCCCTCTCCCCATATTTATCATAAGCATATGTTGTTCTACTCTTTAGCGTTGATGTTCCCCAGGCCTCGGCCCCACCACACACTAGGGTGAGAGAGGTCGTGGGGCGGACAGTCTCGGCCGCCACCACACACTAGGGTGAGAGAGGTCGTGGGGCGGACAGTCTCGGCCCCACCACACACTAGGGTGAGAGAGGTCGTGGGGCGGACAGTCTCGGCCGCCACCACACACTAGGGTGAGAGAGGTCGTGGGGCGGACAGTCTCGGCCGCCACCACACACAAGGGTGGAAGAGGTCGTGGGGCGGACAGTCTCGGCCGCCACCACACCCAAGGTGAGGGAGGTCGTGGGGCGGACAGTCTCGGCCGCCACCACACACAGGGTGGAAGAGGTCGTGGGGCGGACAGTCTCGGCCGCCACCACACACAAGGGTGGAAGAGGTCGTGGGGCGGACAGTCTCGGCCGCCACCACACACAAGGGTGGAAGAGGTCGTGGGGCGGACAGTCTCGGCCACCACCACACACCAAGGTGAGGGAGGTCGTGGGGCGGACAGTCTCGGCCGCCACCACACACAAGGGTGGAAGAGGTCGTGGGGCGGACAGTCTCGGCCGCCACCACACACAAGGGTGGAAGAGGGTCGTGGGGCGGACAGTCTCGGCCGCCACCACACACAAGGGTGGAAGAGGTCGTGGGGCGGGACAGTCTCGGCCGCCACCACACACAAGGGTGGAAGAGGTCGTGGGGCGGACAGTCTCGGCCGCCACCACACACAAGGGGGAAGAGGTCGTGGGGCGGACAGTCTCGGCCACCACCACACACCACGGTGAGGGAGGTCGTGGGGCGGACAGTCTCGGCCGCCACCACACACAAGGGTGGAAGAGGTCGTGGGGCGGACAGTCTCGGCCGCCACCACACACAAGGGTGGAAGAGGTCGTGGGGCGGACAGTCTCGGCCACCACCACACACCAAGGTGAGGGAGGTCGTGGGGCGGACAGTCTCGGCCACCACCACACACAAGGGTGGAAGAGGTCGTGGGGCGGACAGTCTCGGCCGCCACCACACACAAGGGTGGAAGAGGTCGTGGGCGGACAGTCTCGCCACCACCACACACCAGGGTGAGGAAGGTCGTGGGGTGGACAGTCTCGGCCCCCACCACACACTAGGGTGAGAGAGGTCGTGGGGCGGACAGTCTCGGCCCCCACCACACCTAGGGTGAGAGAGGTCGTGGGGCGGACAGTCTCGGCCCCCACCACACACTAGGGTGAGAGAGGTCGTGGGGCGGACAGTCTCGGCCACCACCACACACCAGGGTGAGGGAGGTCGTGGGGC